TTCAATGCTTTTTATACACTAAAACCCTCATTCCCTAGTAGGCTCTAGAAGTCCGCAGAGGCCCTTTGCATAGGAGGAATACAAATTACTCACTTGAAAAATGTCCCCAGCATTACACCACAGGAGCCAAGTCAAGAACACGTCAACACTGCATGCAGTCAAGCCAGGAGGTGAACTTGTTTCCTCATCAGACCTGCTCCCCTGTCTGAGCACAAGGATAGCACTACAGGGCTGCTGGGGTGTCATCATTAATCACAAACTTCTGTACGGGTCTCAGCAAATGTGTCGGGGGTTCTGGATTAAAGTAGAAATAATGACGCAATTACATTCAATAAAGAAAATGAACATTTTTAATACTTTGTTATGAAAAATGAGCCTATTAACGTCCAATTATAGTAACTGAAGCTACTTGGAATGACATTGTTATTTTTGTTATTCCATTTCATATATCTTATAGAAATGAGATAAAAATTGATAAATAAAAATTGATATCAGTGACTGGTTTTAGTTTAATCATCTGGATCTGAAAGTTCACGACTTTCATCTGAACTGTTCTGAAATAAAATTGACAGCATTTTCTGGCAGCCTATAACACAGAGCAGCCAGTGGCTTCCAGGAAAAGCAGGTTGATTTTCATCACTTGTGCCAAAGACAAGGGGTCCTGTTTGGTTCATCTAGAAATCAATACATTTTCCTGCGTAGGAAGAAAGCCATGCGCCTCACTCAGCATTTGTTTGTAACAGCAGTTACTTCTCTTTAAAACAATGCTGACAATCCTGTTTAAAGAAATGAACATTCTTGTGATACTTTGCTAAGAAGATATTTCAAATTGTATGTGAAAACACCACACTGTACCCCATGATTGCATTAATGTACACAGCTATCACTTAATAAAAAAAAAAAAGAAATGAACATTCCCATTTCCACCTCCTCTGTGGCAGGAATAGTAACTGTGACCATGAGTCCTTATAAAAAAATAGTGGTATTTTTTACATTTCCTAATGTAAAATGACTCCTGTTTGGACTAGAAGTTCACATCACTCTTAACTCCTCCACATTCACTGTCTGCCCCGGCGCCCCAAGAGTTCACACCTGTCAAACAGCAGGATACGAGCTGTTGATGCCACTCTTGGGGAGTGACAATCAGGACGCTAGTTAATGAGTTTACTCTTTTCAGCCAAGCTTTAATTTTGGGGTGCTTTTCTAAAAGTTTTTATAAATTCCTCAGATCTGTAAGTAATAAACACATCAAGTAAAGCCTGTTATGCATCTTGATACCTTCACATTTCTGTGAGCTGGTTTTTTTTTTTTTTTGAGACAGAGTCTCAGTCTATTAATGGGGACATCTCAGTGAAGGACAATGACACTGAAACTCAACATTCTGCTGGAAAGGAAACAATGTTTAGGAGACAAAGACCAAGCTACAAGTCACTCAGTCACCTGAAGTGTGTTACTGTAGGGAGAAAAGGGTATTTATAGTGGTATTTTCTACATTTTCTAAATGGTTAACATTTTTGTAACTGAAATTAAAGCAGAACAAGCTGTTAAACCACAACATTGACTAAATAAGTAGGGAGATAAACTAAACAGGGCAGACTGCTTCTGTCCTGTGTGGGGTGAGAAATCTGGAATTCGGAGGCCGAGTGTGTTGGCGAGTTTGCCAGCGTGGGGAGCACCTTTCTTATAAGCGGCACAAGAGTGAGGGACAGTTGGGAGCATCATGTTTCACCCAGTGAAGAGCAAGGAGGGGTCAAGATACCAAGGGGGATTGACAGAAAATCAGGGAATATCCGAGGCACCTGATGAATACAAGTGGTCATTTTGAGCTGTTAACAGCATAACTTTTCATTTAAATGGTCACACCACTTTTACTGTAGTCCAATAAATGTTTTATCATGAAAATAGTTTTCTAAACATGAGCAAAATCTCTAGGATCAAATCAAAGTATTTACTGCCGTTCAAGTAACTATTTGATTAGAATATAAGTCTTTTCTCTGCCATCACCCTGACTCCATTCTCCCGGGCAATCCCATTAGCCTTGCAGGCTCTGCAGGGGAATCCCACCGCTTGGGAAGGCTCCTTTTTTAGTCCAAGCAGTCCCCGAACCCCAGAACTTCACCTGACTGACTCAGAAGCACCTTGGGTTCAGTGCAGAACTTCAGTGTTCTCATGGTCATAACCCAGGTCCTGCGGAATTTTAATACTGTCATTCTGATCCAATGATTTTCACCCTTTTTAATCTCATGGCACACTTGAACCCATAGCTAAACTTCTGTGGCACACTTCAATTGTTGATCAAAAAAAAAAAAAAAAGTAAAAAAAATATACTTACTGTGCTTTGAACTTCTTTTGAAAATAATTAATGATCTTTAAAAATAATCTCCCCCTGCACACCTAAGATCTTCTCATGGCACACCGGTTGAAAATCACTGCTCTGATCAGAGGCCTGAGTTACTCTAAAAGCCTGTATTACTCCCACACCCAATGGTTATGTGTTCCCCCTGACCTCACGTGTACTTCCCACACATCCTGCGTCTTCTCCAGCTTCATCACTTCTCATCTGGACTTCTGAGCTGACCTTCACCGGCTCTAACGTAAGCCATGCCTCACACAGCTGCCAGTTCTCTCTAAAATACGGCCATGGTAGCTCAGTTCCCCCTCGGAAGTCTTGCTGCTCGACAGTGCCTACAGGATACAAATCTTAGCCTTGTGACGGGACACACAGCCGCCTGTGCCCCACATCCCTCCTTCCACTCCGAGTACTTCAGTGGCATCGGCCTACTGTCTGGCAGGAGCACAAAGTTGCTATATGAAATGAATGACATGTAACAGTAAGTATAGCCTGGACTGGAAATGCAACCCACCCACCTCCGCCTCCCAGAGTGCTAGGATTACAGGCGGGAACCATTGCACCCAGCAAAGTAACATAGTTTTATTTCTGATTATAACGGTAACACTGATAAGCTCAGATCTTAAAGGGGCATGGGTATATCATAAAAGGGAAGATACATAAAAATAAATATAGAAAAAGCAAATGGTCTTAAAGCAAGCAACAGGGTCAGAGAAGGTGGCCACTCCCCACCTGAGCCCAGATGCCATGTTTTCTCTTGGAGCCGCAGTCCCAGCAGGCCCTGGGAGGGGGCGCTGCTCTTCCACGTTTAGGGTGGCAGGGACCTCTCAGTCTGTTAATGGGGACATCTCAGTGAAGGGCAATGACACTGAAACTCAACATTCTGCTGGAAAGGAAACAATGTTTAGGAGACAAAGACCAAGCTACAAGTCACTCAGTCACCTGAATTGTGTTACTGTAGGGAGAAAAGGGTATTTATAGTGGTATTTTCTACATTTCCTAAATGGTTAACATTTTTGTAACTGAAATTAAAGCAGAACAAGCTGTTAAACCACAACATTGACTAAATAAGCAGGGAGATAAACTAAACAGGGCAGACTGCTTGCAGGGCTTTTTAGCTTGATATTCCAAAATTTCAAGAACACAAGAAATTCCTCTAGGGATAGTTCTGAGGGAGAAGGAAAGAACACTTTCTAGGTGTCCACACGCATTCAAGTGCCTTGCTTATTCCCCAGCTGAGCTTCTTCTGGCAGTGTGAGGTACCAGCACAAGCTCCAGGGGGGACAGGGCAGTTCCAGGCGGCCTTCCAGGGTGCAGACACCCGTCCTTCTCACCTCCAGGAGGCCTTCCAAGGTGCAGATGCCTGTCCTTCTCACCTTCAGGCTGCAGACACCTGTCCTTCTCACCTCCAGGGTGCAGACACCCGTCCTTCTCACCTCCAGGAGGCCTTCCAGGGTGCAGACGCCCATCCTTCTCACCTCCAGGCTGCCTTCCAGGG